TTCCATGGTAATTACAACAGACAATCTTCCATGGTAATCACACCAGGCAATCTTCCATGGTAATTACAACAGACAATCTTCCATGGTAATTACACCAGGCAATCTTCCATGGTAATTACACCGGACAATCTTCCATGGTAATTACACCAGGCAATCTTAGACAATTATAAAATAAATAAGTTAAAAGGCAGAAGTTGACGCATATCAAGCTGATTATTATATTCAGTTTAAACAGGCTGCAAGTTAGAATAAATAAAACCCTGAGAAAATGTACCCACAAGAATATTAAAAAAAAATTGTAACATCTCTGGGGAATTAATAAAAACAAGTATTGAATTGAAAGAAAATTGCAGTTGTGGAGAAAAATATATATTTATTTTATAATGTCCCCTAAATCAGGGCTATTCAGCTTAGTTTATTCAGGGATCGAAATGCTGAACGTCACGGGTCAGAAGTCCGAGTCCTCGCTTAGGCAGATCATTAATACAATACAATTTAGCAATGATCAGGGTACCACTTGCTGGAGCTCCGGGTACAACTTGCTAGAGTTCCTGGTACCACTTGCTGGGCCTCCGCGTGCCAAATGCGGACCGCCAGTTGAAAAGCCCTGCCTGAAGCTGTAGCTTAGTTATCGTGTAGCTAAATCCAGCACTTGGCTACACTGTAAACATCTGAAACAGATATATTAGTATAACCCCTAAAATATGTGTGGTCGTGTGTTCCCACTAGGCAGCGTCGTCTAGGCAAGATTTAGTTGTTATCGTCTGCAACTTTGCATGCACGGTATGTCTGGACAATTATTATTGGTTCATTTCCCGCGGTCTGACAGAGTGTTTTCCTTCCATTGCGCCTTGTTGTTTGCTAACATGTGGCTGTATTATGACCTGATCGGCAATTAGGTCATCTGATGCTGCAGAGTAAAGGACATTCTTTGTCACGATGTTTCACTGCCAGACTTGGGTTGTCGGTCTCACTTATTCTGTTCTTTTCAAGAATATTTCGCTGCAGTTCGACTGTAGTCTTCACCAGGCTTTGTCCTCACCAGAAATTTAACTGTAAATATCAAGGTAGTCCCGCCAATGGAATGTCGTAGGTTTGAGGCATATCTTGTTATACACACGCCTCAAAGTCATTATACAACCCCGTTTCCTGCGATTGGCATTCTCTGAATGTGTTTCCAAAAATGTAACATGACGGCGGCGTCGTCATCTACCATCTCCCCATTGAAAATAGACTGAATAAGTTTGGAATTGGCATTACTGCACTGGGCATTCCCATACCTGCACCATTACCCTCTTGAGCAGCCAACGAAGAGCGCCTATGTTGATGGTGCCCGTTATGTGGTGACGTCAGCAACGGGTGCCCAGGCACCACCCACTTCTCATGTGCGTGTACCTTTTCAGTCAAATGTTCAGTTTGTGGTCAGAGAAGAAGATGCCACGGGCCGTGTTGCATGACCAGTGTTGTACGGTCGGCTCCTTGTACTTTTGTAAACTCCACACCGCTGTGATCAGCCCGTAACTTCCGACTTAACCATGTTCGCCCCTAATATATATATATATATATATATATATATATATATATATATATATATATATATATATATATATATAGTCAACTGTCCGTATCAAGTTTGTCACGTCATCATCAATCTTCGCTCTTCCCCTCAGTTTGTGGGATGCTGGGGAAGAGGAGGATGGGCAAAGGAGACAATAAAATTATTTGCAGATGTTAAAAGCATGTGATATGCAAGTGATGTCAGAGATGATCTTGCAGTTCCGTGCAATATTTGTGGGTGTCTTGTCTTAACGCCAGCGGTAATTCCCTGTAGCCGAAAATAGCACTATCATCTGGAAAGACAGAAAGGTGCTTCACTATCCAACAACACACCGAGCCATACACGCACAGAGCACACACACATTACATCTTTATTACATGAGTACGGTATTACAAAATAGCAGTTGAGTTCCGAGACGGTGAGCACCCTCATCCGAAACTAGGCCTGGGCTGCTTTACACGTCACACACTCCCGCCTGTGCACGTTTGCATGGATAAACAGCTGGGTCCGAACTCACGTCACCTCGGATACGCTCTTTCTACCTTGCCATCGGACCCCTAAACCGTGTGTCTGTAGTACAGGAGTTCACGCAATCTAGGGATTTGCCGGTGTCTTGAAATTCAGCTGGCTGACCTCTGGGTCACTCAGATACAAACATATGACGTCACATGCCTTATCGTCTATACACAGTCTCATACTCTTCCCGTAGGACGATGACAGGTGCCAGCAAGATAAGTCAAAGATCGCTGTTTGAGAACCGCTGAGATATGCACGTGATATTGCCTCTCCCCCTCACTCCTTCTCCGAATCCATTGTTAGACTAACAACCATTTGAGTCCATGAATATCCCCAGGTGTCACAGATGTTAGCTATACAGGCATTGATCAGGCACCTGCCTAGAGCATTTCTCATTTACATATTAGTTGTGTTTCATGGGCAGTCAGACAGACGTTAGGAGCAGCCACAGTTTCACTGAAACACTGGTATCATTGTACAAGCCCACTGGCTGCCTCACTGTATAGATAGATCATTGATTGCACCAGCAAGCACGGGCACAAAAACCCATTGTGTTGTTTCTTGGTCAAGTTGATGATTTGGTTCATCAAAATCGGGGAGGGGCTAACCGTGCAGAAAAAGTCGGATGTGTCGACCGACAAGCGCAGCTGTCGCAGCCATGTTGTAAACGGGCACAACGCATTTAATCTTCGCATGAACGCAGAAGACAAAGTTTACCATAGTTGTTGATCTTTTTTTTGTTCATCTAATTTGTTGGTCGTATTCAGTCAAGTGAGGAGCGGCTGGCCGAACGATTAGAACACTGGGCTCTCAAGCAAGAGACTCAGGTTCGACTCCTCAGTAAGGTTGGGGATTTTTTCTGGGGAGGGGGGGGGGGAATAAAATCCTCACTGCGCAGTCTGTGGCGACAGCACTAGACATGCGGCCGTAAATCCTCAGGTCAAATACCCCCACCCCGCCTACACCGCAAAATGTTAAAATACAGGCAGTAATTGGCAATTGTTTGTATTCAACCAAGTTATTAATCTTCTTTTTCATGTAATTTGTTAGTCTTATTCATCAAAGGTGTTGGTCTTGTTCATCCAGTTAAAAAATTTTTTTTTACCTAGTTCAGCTATAACCATTTTTATTTGATGTTTTGTTGTTGTTATTGTTTTAAACTGAAATGCATTGTGGGAAGCCTGGACACCAGAGTTTTTGTGTAGAGAGAACAATGGTGAGAAATGATTGTCGTGTAATTTAAGTGTTACTTACAGATTCACAGACTTTATATGTCTCTGTCATGTATTACTACTTTGTGTCAGTCCTATCATCATCATCATCATGTCGTAGAACGTCGCTCTCATCATGGTCTGCCTGAAAGAAACTCAGTCCCTGGCCTCATGTACTTTCATATTCAGTCCTAGTCACTTGTCATATACCCATCTTCATGTTAGTCGACCCCTGCCCCTCCTTCCTGGTACCATGCCTTCTGTTATTATTTTTTTCCAATCCGCCATGATACTTGACATGACCAAAATATTTCAGCTTCCGAGACAAGATGCTGTTTATTTCTCAGGGAAAGATAAAAAAACAGAACGAAAAGTATATCAGCGAGCTTCAAAATATAACAAACATAAACAAAACGTGAACGCTATGGAGCATTCTTCGGCACATACATAGATTAGACAATACTACACAAAGACACAATTTCACTTATTTTTGTATCTCGTGGCAGCCAGGTTGATGTCAAGACAATAGTCTTGCAAGGTACGTGGGGTCGGGAAAATAAATATCCAGGGATATTTCACAGGGCCGTCACTCGAGAATAAGATGAAACTGTGTAGGCAGTTCAGCCCCCTGGGATTTTTTATTAGCCAATCTTCCTTGATGTTTAGATGTTTTAAAATGCTAAGTCCTATACATAATATTGTAATATAGTAATTTCAGAGTCGTTAAATTTTTGCTTGTGTTGTGTTTTGTTACTTGGCATACTTTTGTTGATAAAGGCTGACTGCCACAACATCCTCTGTTTGTTCACTGTATTTGTTTTTCTCAAGCTGAAGACTGACAGAACTATTGATGAAGTGACAATCTGTAGGATCTGAACACAGAATACAACTGGCTCATAAACAAACAGCTTCATGTCTCAGAAGGCTCAACATTTAACACACATGTGGCAATTTGCTTGGAGATTACATTTATCCTTTTTTGAAATTTCTACCTGAAGATTTCTGTGTGTTGCTTGTTCTGTTTGTATCATTTTCTGATCTACTGTGTGTGGTTGTTACATATTTTATGACAGCTTGTGCTAAATATCTTCATGGTTGAATAGTCACATGTCGACTGCCTAGGGAATCTGAGGTGTTGGTGAGGTATCTCACCTTTAACCAGAGCAACAAAATATGTTTTGGTATAAGACAAGACAGAACAGAAGTAGAATATTTATTTTGTTGTCAAAACAACACAAGACAAAATAGTATAATATTTGTTTTGTCATAAAAGCACATGGAAGGTCGTTGGTTCATGTCCCTTTCTTCTTCAGAAATGACATTGACTTTCATGTCGACCCAGCCTTAAATAAAGTCGTGGGAGGTAAAGGTGGCTGGCATGATTTTCGCTGCATCACACACTGAGTGCTATTTGGTCTACACAATATAGGTCACTAATACCCAATACGTCTGAAAAGGTGGGGAAAGCCCTTCACTTTTACTGATGCCTTATCATCATCACGTAGCAGGTCCTTTGCAAAACGTCGCTCTCACCATGGTCGGCCTCAAAGAAACTCTGTCTCTCGCCATCTCTCCCACCTCATGTACTTTCATACTCAAGCAGTCACTTAAATCCTGTGCCCAGCTTCGTGTTGGTCGGCCCCTGCCCCTCCTTCCTGTAACTGACGCCTACTATGTGAAATTGTAACACTCTCAGCATGCTTGTGTTTCTGCAGGTACATGCCTACATCATCTCCCACATCAGGAAGGAAATGCCGGCCATGTTTGGCAAGGACTCCAAGAAGAAAGATCTCATCAACAAACTGCCGGAGATATTTGCTCAGTTGCAGCGGGAGCACCAGATCTCACCTGGTGACTTCCCTAACCTCAAGCACATGCAGGAACAACTGCAGCATCAGGACTTCAACAAATTTAACCTGGTAAAAACCTTCAGCTTCTTTTTTTTTCTTTCTTCCTCCTCCTCTTTATTTTCTATTTCCTCTTCATATTCTTCCTCTCCTTCATATTCTTCCTCTCCTTCATATTCTTCCTCTCCTTTATATTCTTCCTTATCTCTTCTTCTTTCTGCACCTCATTTCCTCTTTTCTTCCTTCATATTCTTCATCCTCTTCCTCTCCTTCATATTTTTCATTCTTCTTCTACTTATCTTATTCTTTTTTCATTCTTTCTCCTTCATATTCTCTCTCTCTCTTCTTCTTCATGTTTTTTCTTTCTCAACTTGCTTCCTAGTCTTTCTCTTCTTCTTCCTACTATTCTTTCTCCTTCATATGCTTCCTCCTTATCTTCTTCTCTTTCCTCCCCTCTTCACATTCTTTCCCTTCTTTATATTCTTTCTTTCTCCTTCATATTTGTTCTCTTTATATTCCTTCTCTTCTTTCTCTTTCTTCCCCCACCTCCTTCTTCCTCCTCTTCTTCTTTCTGCACCTCATCTCCTCTTTTCTTCCTTTATATTCTTCATCCTCTTCCTCTCCTTCAGATTTTTCTTTCTTCTTCTACTTTTCTTATCCTTTTTTCATTCTTCCTCCTTCATATTCTTTCTTTCTCTTCTTCTTCATGTTTTTTCTTTCTCAACTTGCTTCCTAGTCTTTCTCTTCTTCATCCTACTATTCTTTCTCCTTCATATTCTTCCTCCTTTTCTTCTTCTCTTTCCTCCGTTTCTTCATATTCTTCCCCTTCTTTATATTCTTTCATTCTCCTTCATATTTTTTCTCTTTATAATCTTTCCCTTCTTCCTCCTTAACCACAAGCAACATAAGCACATAGTTTGTAGAGCAAGTCATAACAGACAAGATCCGTATGGTTGTCCATGGCATCTTGATGTCTGGTCCAGTTGTTTTGACCATATCTGGCCACTGGATCAAATGGGATCTATTTATTGTCTTGACCATAAGTTGCCACATTATAAAATACAATTTTGATGATGTCTTTTTGATCCTACAGGATCAAGGGGAATCTAGGTTGTTGTATCTTTTGAAGAGTCTTTATTACATTCAGTGGAAAAGGAGATGACCTGCCTACTTAACAAATTCTTAGACCTACCGGGTTGTGCTGCTGTGGCATAGCAGGAAATGATATGGCGGTTAAACTGGTCAAAGAAGGAAAACAGGACCTCCATATCTTAATCACAAGAGGTAAAGACACTGATCAAGGAGTACAGAAACCCCTGGAGATGGAGAACAAACAGCAAACATCCATATGACCAATCGATAGACTAAAAAGGAGGCAGTACACAACCATTTTTATAAAGTTGAGAACAGGACACTGCAGACTTCACACACACAATAAAGGCTGCACAATCCACCCAACATCCCTGCCAACTGGCACTTCAGACACCTGAGCACCTACTGCAGAACTGCCCCCCCCCCCCTCCTCCTACAGCAGAACCAGCGAGAAAACACATAGCCATAGGGAAGAGGCATCCAGGGGAGACCTTTAGAGACTTGCTGCTGACGTGCTGCTTCATGGAGGCAGTACAGCTAGTAATTTGGGTCTATGAAACTGAACGCAAAGAAGAAGAAAATATCCAATCAATATCCAGAGTTATATATAGTGAAGAGTTTGTGTTATTGGCATTGAAGAGCTACTAACTTGTTATTTTACATCCCCAGCTGAAGCCAAAGCTCATCGAGACGGTGGACTCCATGTTGGCAACAGACATTGCCCGCCTTATGCAGATGATACCAGCAGAGGAGAAAGAATCAGTGCAGAAGGATGAAACCAATGGAAATGTCCATGGTGGGGCTTTCGAAGGCTACACTGAGAGCCCCTTTGGCGTGGGCCGAGGGGAGGGTGTGGACGCAGGTCGCGGGGAACACGAGTGGGTTGTGGAGTCTGGCAAATATGAGTATGATGACACATTTACCAAGCTGAACCCAGTCAACGGGAAAATCTCAGGAGCTGCGGCCAAATCTGAAATGGTCAAATCTAAACTGCCCAACACTGTCCTGTCCAAGGTGTGGAAGCTGGCAGATATTGATAAAGATGGAATGCTGGACGCCGATGAATGGGCCCTGGCCAACCATCTCATTAAGATTAAGCTGGAAGGTCATGACCTTCCAAATATATTGCCAGATCATCTGATACCACCGTCCAAACGGGAAGGTACTGCAGAACTGGCTTCCTAAACCTGGCCAGTATAGGTGCCAGACATGGGAACTCTCCACATGCAAGTTCAAGCTCTGCTGCATCTACCCTGCTAAACAGAGCATCGACTGATTACACGTGTGATGCCTTGTAACATCTGAACTGTGTGTGCCTGGTCGTTTAGAAGAATATACAAATTGCTCCAGTGAGGATCTGTTTGGATGTAGTTATCATCCTTGTAGAATATCTCTGTCATAATACACATCATTATCATCATTCACATCATCACTAGCATTCACATCATCATCATTAAGTGCCTTGTCAACTGGCATGTGTGGTCATGCTTCTTCACATCTTAGTCTCCAGTAGCCTGCATCAAAAGTCAGTGCCAGAATCTTGTCTTGTCTGTGCCACTTCTTCACATCTTAGTCTCCAGTAGCCTGCCTCAAAAGTCTGTGCCATGACAGAAGGATGCCCAGAGTCTTCTCTCATGCATTCTTCTACCTGTCTTTCCACTTATCTGTTATTGTTTTTCTCTTCTCATAACATGACCAGAAACTAATGTCTCTCTCTGTCTCTCTGTCTCTCTGTCTCTCTCTCTCTCTGTCTCTCTCTCTCTGTCTCTCTCTCTCTCTCTCTCTCTCTCTCTCTCTCTCTCTCTCTCTCTCTCTCTCTCTCTCTCTCTCTCTCTCTCTCTCTCTCTCTCTCTCTCTCTCTCTCTCTCTCTCTCTCTGTTTCTCTCTTGTTTGTTGTCAAGTTATCTATACATGTCTCAGCTTCTCTCAGATGATTTAGATTACTCCTTTTGGCTGTCCAAGGAATTTAGTACTCTCTTCTGTGAAACCAAATCAGAACTCCCAGGATATAAAATTGACTGGACAGTGAAATGATGAAGAGACAGGAGGCAGTGAAGATGTGGAAAACAAACATGAGGTATAAACACATGGTGCCACTTCTAGATCACTCAGCACCAACAGGAAGAGACAAGTAAAATATAGATAGCCTATCATCATAAGAGATGGAATAGAAGAATAAACCTTGGGTAACCAAACATCAGGCCAAAGATGCAGGAAAACAGAGAAGGATATTTGGAAAGCTTCATAATGCTGGACAACTACAGCTTTTTTATGTCGGCATGCAGTGGTATGCAGTACCGATATCTTCTTTTAGGCATAATTTATTCTAGCGCTGCAATAGGCATGGTTTTTTAAGGAGTGCGGGCACCTTTTTAGAGACACTTTTTGGTGAATACCAGGAACTTTGTTTTTATCCAAGGAAAACTAGCTGTGTGGCCGACAAATAAAAAATCTGAGCAGTATTATATTTATGACAATATCAACTTGGCGGGGGGGGGGGGGGGGGGGGGGGGGGGGGGGGGGGGGGTGTCAGGATCAACTGTGTTTGCTCCTGACTGGGCACATGAAACATTTATATTGTACTCAGGATAAGCCCATGGGTGCTCCTCTTTCTGTCTGAACAAATCTGTGTAGTATAGTTGATGTTCTGTAGAACAGTTTTGAAACAAGAAGAAAATAGAAGCTTGTAGTAAGGTACATTTGATACAGATTGAAAACACAGGATATGGAAGCAAACCGTCTTGTTTTTCTTCTGTCATAGCCAGTGTGATGTAGAGTACACGTGGAGCAATACTTTGAATCTTATTCATCTTCTTATTAGTTCACCCTAAAATAGTTGCTTGTCATGGTTTGTTGTGGTTTACAGCTAGGCTGCAGTACCTGCACCTTTTGTTCCAGTACATCTTATTTCAGTAAACTAATAGTCACTTTTACAACAAGCTTGTTATGGGGCAGCAGGTCTATCCTCCCCCACCCCCCCCCCCCCACCAAGTGGGGCCCGGGAACCCACAGAGGGAGAACTGAACCTGACTGACAGGAGGTGAGAGTATGTTGTTGATCTACCATTGAGAAACTGGTAAATTAATGACAGTACTTTTGCTTGCTGCGGAAACCTGAAAAGTTAACTGGTATTTTTCTGTTAGGCTCATACGTGGCAAATTAACTATGTTAGATTTCTATTTTGTTCATACGTAGAACATGAATTATTGAACATTTTGCTCCAGTCTTTTTGTATGTTTATCCCACCCATTTCTCAATATTCTTTGCTCACACCAACTTTACAAATTCTGTCTTTATTTTCATTTAACACTTGACTACATTGTGTTTTTAAGTAAATTGCCTCACCACTGTGTGTTTATTTGCTAAACATCATATTTTTGGAGAATATTTTATACATCCGCTCTTCTACATAATTATGTTTTGCTTACCTGGATACATCCGCTCTTCTACATAATTATGTTTTGCTTACCTGGATACATCCGCTCTTCTACATAATTATGTTTTGCTTACCTGGATACACCCGCTCTTCTACATAATTATGTTTTGCTTACCTGGATACATCCGCTCTTCTACATAATTATGTTTTGCTTACCTGGATACATCCGCTCTTCTACATAATTATGTTTTTGCTTACCTGGATACATCCGCTCTTCTACATAATTATGTTTTGCTTACCTGGATACATCCGCTCTTCTACATAATTATGTTTTGCTTACCTGGATACATCCGCTCTTCTACATAATTATGTTTTGCTTACCTGGATACATCCGCTCTTCTACATAATTATGTTTTGCTTACCTGGATACATCCGCTCTTCTACATAATTATGTTTTGCTTACCTGGATTCTGGCCTCTTGTTTGTGCTGGAGTTATACGTGTAATACCGTTGGTGATATGTGTATGTTTCCTGTGTATGGAAGTTTATGGGACATCTTGTGCACGTTTGACGTACAACTGCTCTGATAAGGTTTCTGTACTTCATTTGGAGCTGACGACGACATCCCTTGGCTGGTGTTATATAGTTCCTGTCACCCCTTGAGTGCAGCTTGGTCTATCTTCTTATTTATGTCCTCTTTAATGGCTTCAGGTGTCGAGGGAAAACCACTGGTGTGGAGAACAAAAAGAAGAATGAAGCTGTTTTGTTTTATTGTACTGTATTTTATATTTGGATGGCTGTCTGGGGAAGTAAAGGCGGCTGGCGTAATACTGGCCACATTACCCACCTAGTGCCGATCGGTCTGTATAAATATGGGATGCTCTCCCCATATGCCCGATGCGCTTAAGGTGTGAAAAAAGATCTCTAGTTTTTCTTTATATTTACTCTGTCATTTGTTTCTGTGCTTGGAGAGGGAAATAGAGGTCTGCATCACACCCCTTGTGTTTTTGATAGGAGGTCTTTTCATAAACTGCTACACTACATACAGACCTTTGCCCAAGCTCTGAGGAGTGTATTCTGAGGATTGTACCAGTGTATTCGACTTGAGAATGAAAATGTAGTCTTCCAGTGGTTTTACCACCAGCCGTCATATCTCATGTGTGTGTGGTGTGTCAGTCATGCTCTTCCACACTGAGCTTTTATTATATGTGTGTCTCAGTATTGTCACATTGCTCATGTTGCATATCAAAGTTTTATGTTATTCTCATAACATTTGTATCATTCTTGACTATACCGGCATTTAATGATATATATAATATATACTATCGTTAAATTGAGAATATCAGTGCAATTAAATAATAATTTATGATAATGTCATTGTTCCTTTATTGTACACACGTGACAAGATACCTTACTTTAGTGTAAAAGATATTTCACCAGACTTGAAAAAATTGTTGGCTTTTGATTTAAGAGTTTAAAAAATGTTCCTGATGTTTGGTCAGTTATTTGAGGTTGTGACAGCTTGAGTCGACCAAGTACCAGGGTTACGGTGTCAGGGATGCTGTGGGATTTAATTAGATCTGTCTTCATTTTGAACTTGCTGTCTTGTGACAGCATGTACCTCTGGAAATGTTTGCTGCCATGTCTTAATTGCTAGCTCATTGTCAATATTTACATGTGGTTTATTTCCACTGAGGGTTCCAGCACACTGCTTTAATGTTCATGCCACTATTTATGTTTCGCTGTGGTGTAGCGGCTAGATGCTGACTTGCGGATCAGAAGGTCTTGGGTTTAAATCCGAACAGAGCTGGACTTTCCCCCCCCCCCCCTTCAGAAATGATCTTGGTTCCCAGATTGACCCATTCTTAAATAGGCACCAGGAAAAGTCATGGAAAGTAAAGGCAGCCAGTTGGTCTATAAAATATAGCTCTAACACTATATACCTAGTGCCCCAGAAGGCGTGGAAAAAGGTCCTTTACTTTTGACTAATAATAGGTAATCTGTAATAAACTTTTCGCCACAAGTTAATAAACTAAAATAAAACTTCATGCTGCTATCAGTTTATAATCTATAATGAACCTGCATGCCACAAATTAGCCATCCATATTAAACTTTCATGCTGCTGGTAACATAAACAACAATTCTGTACCGTCTCCACAACGAAGGTTGGCTACTGTGTAGTCACCACTATATTTGAGAATATTACATAGTGGGGCTCTTCCACAGTGTGACTCTCATACCATTATGAAACAAAAGTAATACTTCATGCCACAGTTTAGCCACGCTATAATCAGTCTTCATAACCACGTACTAGCCAGTCTTTTGTAAACTTTCTTGATGGAAAACTCATTTTATTATTGCATTTACACATCTGCTAATCAATCATATAACCACAGATGACAGAATAGTAAACTTATTCAAGTTGCACATAAGCTAATAATCTCTTCAGCATGTTCATGTGTTCAGACTTGAAGAACAACTAAATCAGTTACTAATAAACTATAGAAAAACCCTTGAATGTTGAATTAAGAATCGACATCACAGCACTCGGGACACTCCCATAAGTGCTCAGTCCCTATCTTCAGCAGCAGTCAAAGAGTAAAACCCTTGTTAACATGAACACACCTAAGAACAGTCACTCAACATGAACAAAATATTGGTCCCAGCAGGGAGTATGTATTGTTTTTAGTGACGGGTTAGCACACATTTGTTAAACAGGATTTTTGGTTCTTTGGATTCATGTAATTGAGGTATCATTGTTTGAAATTTATTAACTGCAATAGAGGGAATTAAATGGTTTAATAGAATG